TATATTTTCTGTTCAGTTTGTTCTCTATGTTTTTTTTAACAGAATTACAGAAAAACTACAGGCCAGATTTTCATAAACTTGGCAGTAGAATAGGCAAAAGAAGAACCCATTACATTTGGAGGAAATCTGAATCACTGTGTAAATACACATATTAGTTTTCACTTATTGAAACAGTCTTGGCGAAGGTTGAGCTCTCTTACTGCCCTTCTAGTCTTAAATATAGTATATTAACAACGTGTATAGCTTTTTTCACCATGATTTGTTTTATTTGCCTGCTTTTCTGGCTGATGTATTACTAATTTCCCTCCTGGGGATATATCTTATCATCTCATCATCTCACCTTAATTAACTCATGTTCTTTTGTTATTCAATCGATTTTTTTATGATTGTTTGGCAATGATGGGAATCTTGGTGTTCTGCCAATAATAAAGAGATTGTTCTGACCTGGCGCCAGGAACAGGTGATGCAACAGTAAACATGCTCACTATCACAGTTAAGGGCGGGGATAATGGCAGAGGAGGATGCAGCTATTGGTCCTGTTGCAGTAAATGTCATCTGGGTGTAATCAACCAGTCGCCATGGACTAGCTTAAAGTCAGAGGGGGGACATTAAAAAAGATGGAGGGACCGAAAGGAGAAGAAGCAGACAGAGACACAGGACCAGAGGGTGGTAAAATCCGTCTAACCTCCTACAGATTAGTGCCTGAAGACGGCTTTTGTAAAGGTTATAACATGTCTTATTTGCCCAAAAAGAAATGATGCAATGCACAGCAAAATCATTCAAACTTTGCATCTAATCAACAAAATCAACAAAATCAACAGGGTTCCCACAGATCACCTATAAGTGTTAAAAGGCATTGAATTCATTTATCCAAAAAAACTAAATTGTATTGTTGTTAGATCTTACAATTCTTAAAGATGCAGGCATGTAAAATGTTATATTGTTCTTGTTTAATTAAAGATCATAATTTTATGTTTTTCTACTATGGTTTACTATAAAGGCGCTTTATTCATAATCAAATTAGAATAACATCTACATATTAAGAACATCTACAGGGTTGGCACTGATCCTTAAAAATTATTGAAATGCATTGAATTATTTATCCAACAATAAGGCCTTAATAGGTAATACCTCTTTTGAAATTCTTAGAAAAAGCCAAGGGATTGAAAACATCTCCTTTAAGAACTGAGCGTGAAAAAATACCTTAAACATTATTTTATCTTGGCCTACTATCTTTCATGAAAATAATTGTTCATTCTCAATGTCCAAGTTCAATTACCTGGCAGATGTCCTGTGTAACTCTATTTTTCCCTATAAACTAATGTCCTGTGTAAAGTTAAACAGGTTGAATGGTCACGAGCGTCACAAACAATGAAAACACAACAAACATAAGTTGAAAAGTCTTCTCAAACATGTACCCTCTTTTCTACCTACCAAGAACAAGCATGCCTTATACCCAGTGTCAGGGGGGGGGGGGGGGATTTAAAAGAGACCGAAAGTGGGAAGAGGCAGACAAAGACACGAGACCAGAGGGGGATAAAATCCATCCAACTCAGTAGCAACCTTTCCATCCATGGATCTGCTGCCTGACAGGCTAAGTGCGGTTTTAAACAAGAGTCAGGTCTGATCAAAATCATCTTAGCCCCAAGGCTACGCTAACACACCTGGTCTGATCTGCAACTGGGTCAGCAGCTGTCTGTCTGTACTCTTTCTGCTCGTCTTCATCGGCTCACACTCTCTTAACCGCTTCACCCAGGACTTTTTATCTTAAGATCGATGCCTCAACCCGTCCCCTCGTTCGTACCCTACCCCGTACTTTCCAACCTCACATATATCAGATCACAAAATCTGCTTTTTTTCTACTCAAGGAAAATCACACAATCCAAGCCTCTCTTTCTCCTTGACTGACACTGGAAATTATGCATCGAAACATTCGCTATGGTTCCCCTGCCTACATTATAAAAAAAATATTGGTTTATCCAAATTCTGCTACCCAATGCTCAGCCCACATTACCCATATTTACCATCACTTCGAATGGCTGCCGATCAAACACCGGATTGACTTTAAAACAGTTCTCACAACCTCGACCTCCACCAACAAGCTGCTGATGCTAACATACTTAACAATGTATTTAATCACAAACAGTGTAAAATATAAGTCCAATCATACGATATAACCGAAATATGTGAAATTGGACACCCCGATAAACTATTCTCAGCTTTGTGTATTAACTATACTCTATGTATTAATAACACATCTAGAATTTGACATAGATCATGTTTTAAAAGGAAACATAACAAGCTAAAAAAAAACCTGTAATACAAACCAAATGCCCTAAAAAGCTTAACTAAAGCTGACAATAAAGTTGACTTTATTGAACTATACTCAAGGAAAATCACACAATCCAAGCCTCTCTTTCTCCTTATACCATAACTTAGGACTACAGCAAATAATACTAAAGTTGGTCCATATACACAGACCTGATCAAAAAAGCCCTTAAAAGCGAATTTGTTTGTCAGGAGAAAAAGGCAAAGCAGTATGAAGTATCTTTCTGTCCCCACCCACTGCCTCTGTAATAAGGCTTTGCACTCTTTCTAAAATGGCGCCTAATGTCGGGGGAAAACAAGTTGTGTCGTAGCGGGTAAGAGTGTCATCTCAGGTCACATCTCAAGGAACTTTCCTCCACTGTGAGCCACCTTGAGGGAATAGTCTGGAGCTGAAGTCACTTTCATTTCACTGATCACTTCTCTGTTTGAAGGTGACAATCAAATCAGCTGCTGATTGCAAGAAAAACCTGAAGACTCTCGAAATTACTGTTGCTATAACAGCTACTGCACAAGAGTACAATCCCATACTAAACTTATAGATATACAGTATACAGCAGCTATAAAAGGGAAGGGTGCTTTGGTGGAGCCCATATCATAAACAATTATATACTTTTTTTCTAGGGTGGTTGCATTAAAAGCCAGATTACATTAGTTTGAATCTAAAAAATGTCAGTCCTTAGAATACAACCAATGTCACTACATCATTCAAACAGAACATAAATAGTTTAGTAGAAGAACATTTGCTCAGTGTATGGGTCACCATTAAAGGTCCCATGTCATGGCCATTTCTACTGATCATTTCAATTGTGCAATTTTCCAAACTCACATTGGTTTCTCATACAGCATCTCTGTATAGTATGTGTATTCACTCTCTGTCCTAAACGGCTTGTTGGAGCTCCTGCCCCCCCTCCCTGTGAGCCCAGTGTGCTCTGATTGGTCGGGACGTTGCGAGGCTCGTTGCTGCTCGTTGCTGCTCGCCACTGCTTCGAGCTGCTGTGAGGAGTGGACAGGTTTCCGGGTCGGCGATACAGCGAGATAAAGCGAAACTCATCCTGAGCACACACAAACACTCACAGCCGAAGTAAAAACAATAAGTGTGGCTTGATATTGAGTTAGAAAAAGGTTTGTAACGCTGAGAGAATGGGTCTGCGGAGAGCATTTCTCCACCATCCCAACTCGTCTATTACCAGCGTTCAGGGAGCTCTATGCAAGTCAATGGGGACTCCCTGTTAGTTAGCCAAGGGATCCTGGTGTGTGAGGTGCTCCGCGGATTGGTCCATTTGGGCCAATCCGGTCATTTGTTGTTGATTTGGGTGTTCACACGTCACAGAACCCAGGAAGCAAACAATGGAAAAAGAGAAATGTCCAACGAGGCGTTCTGGGGCAGCATAGACAGGTCTTCTCTGTGTTAGAGTTTTACTCGCTACAGGGTGTACTTTGAGGGTTTGTGACTCTGCAGACCGTGTACATGCAGAAAAACCTTCATAACACACAAGGGGACGGGTAATAACCAGAAAAGCATGACGTGGGACCTTTAAAGAGGCTGAGAGAGGCAAAACAAATCTTAAATGCTGTTTTAAGACTTTTTCTTGCCGTCTCAATGTAATTGACAGAAAACAGCTTGTGTTGTATCTTCCCGTGCTGTCCATCAGAGACGTACACTCCATACAGACACTAAGGGATTGATTTTCTTAGCTTTAAATCAAGTTTTTACTAAAAGCTCAAACACTATTTGGATGTGACGTATTGATCTTGTAATGAATCTTATAGCCTCCAGTTCTGACTCCACACTACCGTCGGACTTTTCCTCTGCTCTGCATCCTTGTATTGAAATGGAGATCAAGCTAAAGGACACATTCTGAAATGGCTTCTCTTGAGTAATAGTGTTGCTTTATCCAATCTGTTCTTGTCTTTGAGTTGCAGGAGCATTTTCAACTATTTGGAGCTGCTTTGAAAAATCACATATCAAGGTGCTTATTGCCAGACTTCTTTTATTGCTTCTACTTGACATGCAACTTAATAAGACCCTCATTTGCAGCACTACCATGACTACATGTCTACACCATGTATTTAATAATAATGTCTGAACTGGCACCTTGTTAGGAGTGCTAGATCCCAGATATGATTAACGCAATTAGTTTGAACAATAGTCATTATGTTTTATGGCTCTTTGTCTGTCTCTAGGGAACCTGTACAGAGCGCTATGATAATAAAGTAAGCTAAAATACTTTGCATATAAGAGATAGTAGTTGTGCAGGATAATGAATTATGTTTTGATGGGGAAACAGGAAGTGGGAAAGGGGGTGGGGGGTGTGAGAGGCAGATAGAAGGATGTAAATATTCCTTTACAACCAGGTGGAAGGAAAGCACTCTGACTGGCTGATACCATGCCGCAATTAGAGACAAAAAAGCTCTATGAATACATTCAGAGAGAAATGTCAGTCATAGTAAAACTTGAGCAAGCCCTATAGGACAGGTTGGTCAAGCTCTGTTGACCAATGGCATCATCAATTTGTCCAATGCTGTGTCTCAACTCAAATCGACTAAATCGAAAATGTTAAGTATAGAAGTATGTGAAGGAACACGGCAGGAGACTCCAGAACCACAAACAACAACACACCCCCTCCCCTTCCTAACTCATTTCCCAACATTAAAAAGTGAACTGTACTCACTCCCACTCTTTCCTCCTGGCCTGCGGGGTGTTGTGCAGCTTGTGCGCCTGGTGGGCCATGATGACATCCCGGTAGTCCACCACGCCTCCCCTCCTCCGGACCAGCGGCACTGTGGGGTCGGTGCTGCTGGAGACCAGGGACAAGGAGCCACGCCCGGACCGAACCCCACCGCTGAACGGCACATCTCTGTACTGATCCACTCGCACGTCATAGACGGCGTGGTAGTAGGTGGGGTTGGGGCCCACGCTGCTCCCGCTGATTGGGGGAGGGCGGCATCGTAGTGGCCTCTGGAGGACCTGAGAGGAAGAGGTGCAGGTAGAAGGCTGGGGCCACACCGCCGAGCCGCCATGGTCCGGATAGAGGGGGGACAGCATGGAGCTGGAGGGAGAAGAGATGGGGAACGATGAGAGAGGGTATAGGGGTATGGGACAGTATAACATCGTAACATAAACCTTCTATTTAAGCTGTGTGACAAACATTCGTTCCCAGAGTGACCTCATGGGATGGAAACTTCTGAAGCAATGGATATTATTATTTGCCCCTTTTGTTTTGTTTTTTTGTTTGTTCACCATGTAAAGCGGCCTTGGGTCCCTCGAAAGGCGCTATACAAATGTAATATATTATTATTAGACGAGACTCAGAGAGACACGGGGAGAGCAGGAACTTTGATGGTTTATTTGGAGCTTCGGCCTGGAGAATTCACAAGACATGTTCTGAAGATCTCTACCCCAGACGCATGTGTTTAGCTGGTTCTGAGAGAATAATCAACATTGTGTAACAAGGCAAAGCACTATAATAACACCTCTATCAGCTGACGCCAACAGGCAGGAACAGGGAGACAAAACACTGAGAGCACAGCAGCTCAAGGTTGAGGTCTGTGCTCAGTGAGGGCAGTACAGACTGATAAACTGGGTCAAAGTTATGGGCCTAGGAAAATATTTCCCCAACACCGACGTTGAGATGAACAGAATGTATGTAGTGTTACAGAAACACGGTACTACTTGGTTGTGGTCCCCCTTTATCATCCTGCAATAGTGGAAAAAGCATGTTGGTGTGCAATACTTTACCAATAACAATCGTCTTTGGTAGTGCTCAGTACAGCGAAAGCTAAGGAGAATGCTAGGTAAATCAGGCAGTCTACATGGGGCAAGTGAAACTTATGTTACATTACATTACATTACATGTTACTTGTTAGACGCTTTTATCCAAAGCGACTTACATACTCAATGCTGTGGGCAATCCCCACAGGAGCAATTTGGGGTGAAGTGTCTCAGGGACACAACAACATGCTGACTGCAGTGGGGTTTGAACCTGTGCTCCCCTTTAAAAAAGCGTATTTTGGGAGATGGCAAGTTTAAAGTGGACCTATTATGCTATATTTAAATGATATATTGTAGGGCCATACCTATATAAGGTATATTTATACGTTTCTGTTTTCAAAATACCAAACAGATCATGCATTTTAGCCATGCCTCATTTCGCTCTATGTGCTGTTTGCTGTCTACGGGTCTGATTCTGCTGACCACGCCCCCCTGCAGGAGAAGGGAGCCGTGCTCTGATCAGCTGCTGGGCTGTCAGAAGAGGGGGAGAAAAAGAGATCTCTGTGTTTTATTATATAGGAGGCGTTATTCATTTGTTTTAAAGCTCAATAAATAACAAAGAAGACCTTTGACCGGCACTTTTCTAATTTTGTCCGGAAGATTTAAACTTTAACGGACATCTTGACCGGCGAAAGAAACTGAAACTGAAACTCTGCCGCACGGTCCCCTCGTTCCTTGGAAGAGGCGGAGAGGTGGGTGTTTGTCATCTGCTGGTGGACTAACCGGAGAGAATGACAGTGCTTGCCTCGACGGGGAGGGATTGCATTGAATTAAAGCAGCGGGAGCAAACGCTTGCCTCGGGGAGGGAGAAAAAAAGCCACAGCGGAGAACAAACAGAAGGGTAACCATGGTAACTATGGGCGGGAAGTCTTCTTCGCTGCTTTTGTGGCAGACTACAGCGCCACTTACAGGCCTGGCATATGTACTACAGCGTCTCCAGCGCTTTCGAACGGCAATGGCCGTGGCTGTCTCCTCCTGATTGGTGGAGTTGGCCCAATAGCCGTAGCCCCACCGTCCTGACGTCAGGACAGTGTTCAAATCTGGATCAGTTTTTATCAGATCCGTTGCAGCCCCTTTTTTAGAGATTTGGGTATGGAGGAAAATAGAGAGGGTTGTGTTTTCGGACACTTGGTGAGTTCCCTGGAACACCGGGGACACATATTCATGTATAAAAGACGTACAAAAGTGCATTTTGCATGATAGGTCCCCTTTAAGTCAGATTTAATATAATTGTAAAATGACAGAACCAAAAGTGACACCATTTAATGAAAAAGCTGCTCACAGATACAAAACGGATAAATCCATTAAAAACACATCAAATGAAATCTGGTTTGACTGAGTCTGAAGTGGCCTCTGTGGAGTAAACCGGGAAATGAGTGTTTCATCATATCAGCTTCAGTCCTCCTGGTTATAATAAAACTCATAATAAATAAGCTGTTGGATTTATTATTGGATTGTTGGTGGACTTGGTGGAGGAAACAAACAGCAGGAAACTAATGAAAATAAAAAAAGTCAATATGTTAATGATCTGATTTACTGCAGCTTGTTCGCAGGTTGCACCAAATGTATTTCTTGTTGTCTCTTCCTGACTCTGTTAATCAATCAGAGGGAGACTTAAATTAAAAGTAGAGAGGGACAGTCAGGAAGTTCAAAGAGTATATTAGAGGAAGGAAATGATATGGAGTAAACAAAGCTGGAGAAAAACTAATATAAAGGGGAGGCTCTGGAGAAAGAGGTAACAGCTGAGGAGAATTATAGTGAGGGATTTGGAGAGGAACATGGGGGGTTTGAAAGTGAATACTGTGAGAAAAGGAGTTGTAGGTAAATAAAATCCAATGTTAAGTCAACAGTAAAAGAATAGTAATACATCCATAACAAAATGTACAATGGGATAATACTCAGTGAGAGGAAAAGCTGCTTCCACAGATAATGACTCTTTCAAATGTAGCATAAGCACTATAATGAAAAACAGCAAACAGATAGATTCCCATAATCCACTCCAGCCGTGTTTGAATAGGAGAATATCTTCAGGAGCTCATCCATAATTACCGTAATATATTATTTACTGAGCATGTACTGTTGGAAAAGGCATCTCTTTGAATATAACAGATGTATTCCTCATTGTATGTTTTAAGTAAACATTAGATTTAATGAATTAATGTGCTGTTTTCATACATTTAGGGAGTATAGGGACACAAGATGCCTTCGGCCATTTGTTCGTCTTCTGGTACCAGAATTACGTTCTTATTGGACAATTCTGCACTGCATGATTTACTTTCAGTGCCGATGCTCAGTATCACTGTAGAAATGGAAACGTTTTTATTTTTACAATTGTATGTTTGCTGTCAATAGGGCTGACAGTTAACGAGCATTATCAATGGTTTGTATAATACTCAAAAAGCTTTATTAACTGGTAAAACAGTACGGTCAGGTTATTCCACATCAAGCGAGTAAACAAGCTCTTTAAAATGTTTGACTTATTCAAAACAATGTACTTGCAGGTTTCTTTGGTTGATTGTGCTTTGGATAAAAGAGTCTGCTTAATGATATTTAATGTAGTGAAACTAAAAGTCAGAACAAACAATAAAATGTCTGGTATGTTAAAAGATAAGATGGTTTTTTTTGTGACTTCCTCAACTTTCCATATAGAAATTAATGTCTATACATCTTCAGATATACATTTGAGTTTCTGTACCTCTTCAGTTCAGTGTGGTTTGCATTGATTAACTAGGAAACTCTGCCAGGATGTAAATTCAGTTGCATTTTTCCTGACTAAGATTTTTTTTTTTTTAAAGGCAGCTCTGGTATTTGCTCTTTTAAAAACCGGAGGGTAGAGGAAAAAAAAGCCAATTTCCCCCTTCCAATTAGTCAAGAAGAAAAAAGAGTGAGCAAAGATGACAAACATGAATCCACATGGAGAGTGGGCGCATTAATAAACCAGACATTCAATAAAAGGACGGAGTGAGAGGAATGAAGAGAAACAGAGAACAGAAAGATGTGAGGGCGGGGAGATTAAAGGGGAAACACTCTTAATTAAACGCCTGCAAAAGAGTAATGACGCTAACCTGGCATTTACATTTTTTCTAGGTAATTGCAAAAAAAAACGCCCCTGGCTAGTGTTCATGTGTGTGTGCGTGTGCGTGTGCGTGTGCGTGTGCGTGTGCGTGTGCGTGTGCGTGTGCGTGTGCGTGTGTGTGTGTGTGTTCGTGTGTTCGTGTGTGTGTGTGTGTGTGTGTGTGCATACAGACGTATTGTAAACACAATTTTTCCCCACCAGATATCTGCTGAGGGGCCATTACACATTATTTCTCCCTGACATGGTGTAAAGCGAAAACTAATTCACAGAGACAGGCGCACACACACAGATTTACGCTCACACACTGCAGGTACAATGATGAGACATACTGCTATGGTAAGGACTTTGTTGGGTGATTGAGGGTGTGTGTGTGTGTGTGTGTGTGTGTGTGTGTGGTGTGGGTGTGGGTGTGGGTGTGTGTGTGTGTGTGTGTGTGTGTGTGTGTGTGTGTGTGTGTGTGTGTGTGCCGCAGGGCTCGAATAACACAGCTCTAGTGGTATTAGTGGTAGTAGCAGAGAACACATAAACTCAGGAGCATGCACATAACATGGGGCAAGGGAAAAGTAGTGGATTAACTCAGAGGACAGAAGACTTAAGAGGGGGGAGATATTGAGGGGAGACAGGGGGGAAGATGGACAGATAAATTAGAGCATTAGTGGGTGAAAACATGAGGTAGGAAGACAGTCATGTAGAAGAAAAGACATTCGAGTGGGGCAGGAATGAGTCTTAAAACCCAGAAATTAGTCAGCATTTTGGCACTTTTTGTTCGCTTGTAAGATCTGTGGTTAAAACAAGCTTTTGAGATTATTAAGTTTTGTTCTACGACATAAAATACGTCAGTAAATACCCCACTGGTAGATTTAAAAATGGCGGTTGCTCATAATTGTCTAAATGAGACGACTAAACGTCATCCCGCCCAACATTAGCCACCTTTAGCTTAGCGGTGGTGACGTGAAGTCATGTGACCGTGCTGTAGTTCCTTTATAGCCCAACATTAGCCACCTTTAGCTTAGCGGAGGTGACGTGAAGTCATGTGACCGTGCTGTAGTTCCTTTATAGCCCAACATTAGCCGCCTTTAGCTTATCGGTGGTGATGTGAAGTCATGTGACCGTGCTGTAGTTTCTTTATAGCCCAACATTAGCCGCCTTTAGCTTAGCGGTGGTGATGTGAAGTCATGTGACAGTGCTGTAGTTCCTTTAT